TTACCGCCATATCACGTTGAAACAGGTCCGATCACCGAAGTTAAGGGTTTACGGCAATATAACCTTGAAACAATGGTTCTCGTACATTCACCGAAGTTAAGTAACGCCGAGACTGGTCAGTAACTAGATGGGTGACCGTTTTGGGATATCAGGTGATGTAAGCTTGTATATGTGGGCGGTGTAACGGATAATGACTCGAAATTGGAAATCGAAGATTCGAGAAAATGGAAATCGAAGATTCGAGGTAGAATTCCAGTCAGATCTGATATATTGACTCACCTGCAAATATCATAAGGAAAGTTATGAATCCATCGCTTCTTCCCCTCAGCTATAGGTTAAATATTATGACTTGTATCTAAAAATCATTATCGTCTCGAAAGAAACTGTTAATGCAATATTCACTCACCAAAATAAAAACCCTTATTCTTAAAATCTAAAATAGGTTAAAATAATGTTTTAACCTTATTTTAGCATTATTTTACCTATTAAATAGTTTAAATAACGTACAAAACGGTTCATTGACCGTAAAAAAATCAATCACTCCATCGATATTGCCCCCGCAGTCCACGAGTGCATATATATATATATATATATATATATATATATATATATATATATATATATATATATATATATATATATTTTTTTTTTTAAATGTAGACTAAAAACGATTGGAGCGATCTTTACACAGCTGCATCAAAGGCGTCACCTGTGTGTAATCGTTAACCTGATGAAATATCATTAGAAATTGTCCCACGAGATGATGATATGCTGGAGCCAAGCTGGCTTCAGTCAATCAATCCAACTGCGTCGCATTTGCCACAAGTCTATCAGACTGCCAGTGTGTAGAGTAGCAGAATAACACCATTATGAACGACGACCAGCTTCCCTCGATCTTTTGAAGCTGAAAATGTCGTCACCTCTATCTTGATTTTCCTGCCGCCTAAAATGGATGAAAACACGTGTTCTTCTATGAACGTACTAAAGAAGAATTATACTTGCTTCCTGCTTATTATATGTTCGCCGTACACATCAATAAGTTTATCTTGGATTTGAGACGTACAAAACTGTTTTTACAGCTTGCGCTTAACATCTTTACGTTGCACTGTGATGGCAATCTCTCACGCGCTAAACTTGAAGCGTCTTCTAGCCGTTCCAGAAGCGTCGAATATCTCACTGTTGTTTATATCCCCAGCTTTGGCAATATTTTAATTTCTTTTCGGACATCCCTCCTACTTGAGTCTTATAATGTGAGAATCCTTGCAAATATGAACCGTTTGGCATTCCGCCTTGCAACTTACAAAAACAAGGGCTTACGAAAAAAAAAAAAAAATTCATGCAGATGTGTAGATTGTGAAGAAAAAAAAATCAGCGGAGGATCTTCATTGACAGAAAGCTTCATTCCATTTTTATTTTTATTTTTTAAATAACATTTTACTCCTACAAGCAGTAAAATAAAGCATTTTGTCTTTGTGGTGTGTCAAAAGTATTTCCCGTTCTTAAATGTGGAGGCCATTTCAAGATTATCTGTGTATTTACTAAGCTCATGTATGGATGACAAGATGGTGTCTTTCTGTGATCCCGACTTTCCTGAAAGTTTGTGAATGCTGGTAGTCTTTTCTTTTTTTCCTCCATAATCCACAATTGATGATGTTTTAAGTGAAAATGCTACCACGTTTACAACCATTTTAGAGTAATACAACCATATAATGTTTTCTTCCACTTTTCGAAAATTCTGTGGGCCGTGGCATTCAATCCCTATTTTGAAAAAATTCTCCCAGTTTACCAAAATCGAAATATCAGTATCTGCCATTATAACATCTGAAAAAAAAAAGGTTTTCTCAATACTATCTATTACAATCACTATTTACCGTAAATGCTATAGCCTTTTTACAATTCAGGCGATCATGGCTCTCCACAGTTCCTTTTATTTAACTTCGATGAATAATCAAGCATTCTCGAGAAAGAGGGCTGCGAAGATTCAGTAGCTTTTTCCACAGTCTGGGATTCAAGAGATATCCGTCTCTTAGCTTGGTTACCACAAAGCTCAATCTAGTTTACTGTTTAACCCGTAGTTGGGGTGAAGTGAAGTATCCATACCTTCCCACAAAGCAGTGAATGTAACAGCATTAGGAGGACTTTTACGGATACATACATATACACACACACACACACACACACACACACATATATATATATATATTTATATATATACATATATATATATTTATATATATATATGTGTGTGTGTGTATATATATATATATATATATATATATTTATATATATATATATATATATATATATATATATATACAAAAGTCTCCTTATGCTTTTATATATATATGTGTGTGTGTGTGTGCATACATATATATATATGTGTGTGTGTGTGTTTGTTTGTTTGCGTGTGTGTTTGCAGGAAGCATAATAGTATCTCGAAAAAAGTGAAGATGATGAAACTAAGTTGAAACTTTTTCTTGGCGAAGCGTGTCTTTAATAA